GAGCCAACAACCCCTCAAGGGTAAGGCATCCTCCTGGGGGAGGGAGTCTGAAGGGCCAGGGCATAGATGTGGATGGGCTGAGCCACCCACTTCAGGGAGAACTGAAATCTAAGCTTGGGAGACCAGGCCAGCTCTCAGGGGCAGGAGCAGAGTCATAAATCAGAGACCAAGTCAAGGATTCTGAGCCAAGGAGAAACAGGAGGAGAATGGGAAATACCTGTGCACCGGCAGGAACAACTCCTTTCTGTGGCTCTCCTTTGCCTGCATGTGGTTTCCTCAAGGGTACAGAGAAGGGTGACTCAGGGCCAGTGACACAAAGGAAAAACAGTCACTCCTGCCAGGGTGGTGAGGACTGATAACAGCTCAGTGCACTGTTCCAAAGGCATTTGCGCTTTAATGCAGTGTCCCTTGAAGACCCTTTATCCCACTAATATTTGTTGGGCACATATCATGTGCTGGGTGCTGTTGTAAGCACAGCAGTGAACAGATCTAATGGAGCACAGTCTTGTAGGGGAGACATGATGACTTAGTGTAAATAAATGATGCTGAGAGAATTCCAAGCAGAGGCAGGGACATGGGGGTATTTTCTAGTGCCCCTCAAACCATATCCCATCAATTACTGTTTAGCTACTGGTAAAATTGGCCCAACTTTCATGTACATAAAAAAAAAAAAAACCCAACCCTGCAGCATCACTGAATCATCATGATGAAAAGTGAAGCATCTCAGAAATAGCATAAGGGGAGGGATGGGTCCTGAGACAGAATGGCAAAAGTAGGCCCCCCCATGAGCTAACAGAGAGCAGGTGTTATTCAGAGTCCACAGGCCCACTCATGAAGTCTGCACTTGGCCCTTCCCTGTGGTTGAAGGGGAGTTCTTTTGACATGGATGAGTCAGGATTCTCAGACAAGGAGGCTCTGGTGAGCCTTATCTCCTCTGGTTAAGGTTCAGCTCCTTTCCCTACACCATGAGTCTTCACCCATGGTAGGTATAAGTGGGAGGGATTGAGGAGGAGAAGTAGGTGCAGCCTCAGAGTGCCCCTTTCCCCCAGGATTCTGCTGAGGTTCCAAGCCTAATCTCTCCTTTGGGACAGGTCAGTCCCTGCCTTTCCTGTGTCTGCTTGGCTCTGGCATTGACACCAGCCCTGCATATTTGGTCTCATTGTTCCAAAGTTACACAGAGCACAGGCTCTATAGGATGCTCTGTGCCTACCCTGGTCACAGGGCTGTATTTGCTTGCTGCCCTGTGCCGCTGTCCCAGGGATGAGTGCCAGGCGACCCCTGAGCTGTAGCCTTTCCCTCAGCCTCCTCCATACTTACCTGCTCCCTAGTCTGCTCTTGTTTCCAGTTGCTCTGGTTCCAGCAACCAGCTCCCTTAGCTGCATGAGAAAACCATACCTGTCCCCTGTTTTTCAGTACCCCCAGCTGCCACCAGGGATCCTCTTCTAAAAAGAGAGGAACTACTTAGAACCACAATGCTGCCACTGCAGACCCCAAATACCACTCTAGGTACCTGGTTGCTCCTGATGCCATGCCTCATCCCTCAGTCACTCTGAGTGAGCAGTCTGAGTGGCAAGGCTGGTTCAGATGATCTCATTTCAGTGAGATCTGGGGCACTGATGCACCAGACTTGGGTCACATGCCCACACCTGTGGCTTAGTGGAGTAGAGCACCATGAGTAACGGTTCCACCAGAATCACACAATATAGAAAAATGGGCATTTCCCTAAGGAAAGGGGGCATTGTAAGAAGGGTGGAGGGGAAACTAGGCAGACAAAACAGTAAATACCTACTTCAAAATTTAATGTGCTGGTTTTCCTCAACTTAGACTTAACCTCTTAACAGTTTCTCTTGGTCTCATAAAAGTGAAAAAGAGGATTTATCTATATTCACCTATACACACAGACAGAAGAATGAAGAGAGACCCAGAGAATGCTCAAAAATCTACCAGTTGGCATTAACAGAGAAATCTCTGCTTCTGGAGGAGTTCAAGTTCAAGCCAAGTTCAAGTCAGAAGTGACGAATTCGAGCAGGAAAGCTCATGTCCTCGAGGACCATTCAGGGCAAATGGAAGAAATGTTTGTCAACACTGTGAAACCATAGAAGAGTCAGGCAGAGTTCAGGGGCAAAGCTGCCATTACCACCCCACCCTGACCAATCCAATGCAAACACCTACCTCATGCACAGCCCAGCATGACCACATCTACCCACCCTCACTGAGCACTTTGAGCCCAGCACAGACTGTAGATTCCGTGGCCCATCTTCTTCCCATTCTCAAGATTTAACTATCCTTTTCGATTATGCTGTCTTGCTTCTGTTTCACCAGGCTATAGGAGCTTAGATTTCATAATTTGGCTGATCCTTACAAAAATGGTTTTAAGGAAACTTCCTGCCCTACTAAAGTAATTATATGCTCCTTAAACTCCCCAAATCCTTGTTCTGGAGAAACAGGTCTTAATCATCCTTTCTGATCTTATCTCTACTATTTCCTTCATAAATACTTCTTTCAAAACACTATAAATACGGTTCTTCAACTCATTTTTTACATCTCAGCCTTTGGGCTTTTGCTTGTTATTCTCATTCCTTGGTGGCTATTTCTCCACCAAAATTCCAGTCAGTTTTCAAATGTTACCTCAAAAACAGCCTTCCTCACGGAGACTCCTACTGTTCCCTCAGTGGGAAATGATTGCCATCACTGGTTTTAGAATCTGGTGTCGGAATCAAGCTTTTTAAAACAGCTTTCAAGTATGAGATTCCTCTACTTGTCTGATATTCTGTCATTATTGTTTGAAAGTGATTTCATTCAACTCCAGCCAGAAAAATCAAAACATAGTCTGGGTCTAAAGAAAGTATTACTTTTTAGATTTTCATGAGAATTTAGAGGGGACTATGAATGTGCCATGCAAAATATGAGCCTTCATCTCATGAGCTTAGGATAGCAAATTTATGTGAATCTATGAATCTCAGAACAACATATAAAATGTGTGAGGGTCTGAGACTCCAGGGTTCCTCATTTGAAATTTGGAGATTTTGCTATCAGCCTCCATAAACTACAGTACCTACTGACAAAGACATTCATTAGAAGTTTAGGCAGAAAAAGACATAAATTATGTTCCAAGGGAACCCAATATACAAATAAGATCCTAGAAATTATAAGTCTTGTGATAGAGCACACTAGCAGTCAGAGCTTATGAAAGATGTAAACAGCTTCTAAAACATCCTTCTCTTTTATAAAATTGTTCTAACTTAACATAGATTCATTTTTGAAATTGTCTCTACACCAGAATCTCTTACTTGTTAGTATTCTGTTCTTTATCACAGCAAGCCATTCCAGAGATTTCCCTGTTGGACACTTTAGATTTATAGATATCTTTTAAAAACATATTTCAAAAAACCCCAGTAATTTCTCCTTGCAATCAGATTTCTAAAAGGCGTTCTTGCCTAGTTTTTACTTTGTCACCCACTGCAGTCTGGCTGCTGGTCTCACCACCTAAATATCTCTCACCAAGTTTATAAACAACACCTGCTGACAAACCTAATGAGAAACGTTGAGGTTCTCTATGACTTCACTTTGCTGTGGTGCTGACATTGGGGCCATTTCCTTGCTTTGGAAATGTATCCTCCCCGGGCTCGGTCTTTGCATCTCCATCCTCGACATTCTCCAGAGGAGCCTTGACTGCCAATGGATTCAACTCCCCACTGAACATCTTCACCTTAACACCCATCTCACTGATCCTCCCCCCTCTTAGGAAGGACACCACCTCATCTGCCCTGTTGTTGGGAGTCGTTCAAGATTCCTCTTCTCTCAACCCTCACATAGGATCAGGCACAAGCTCTTACTGGATCTGCCTCCCCAAATCCCTCAGTTGGTTGCCTCTCTCCTGGCCTTTGCTGGTGCCTCAGCACACTCATAGTCTCTTGCCAGTGCCTGGTAGCCTTCTGGTTGGTCTCTCTGCTTCCATTTCTGTCCTTTTCCTCTTACCCTCCCACAGCTGCCAGGGTGATCTGAGAGCAGCTTTGTGTCTCCCCTGAGCAGAATCACTCAGTGACTTTAAATTCTCTGTAAGACAGATCCGAGACCCCATCATGGCATATAAATGGGTCCCTGACCCCTGCCCTTTCTCCTCCTCAGCCTTTCCCCACCATACTCTGTGACCATGACACTCCAAATCACAGCTGGTGTCCCATATACGCCAGCTCCCTCATGCCTCTTTGCTCTCACCTATGTTGTCTTTTTTGCCTGGAATGCCCTCACTTGGATGGTCTTCCTGGCAATCCACTGCTTCCTCTTCAAGTCTTGACCCACATGCTACATTCTCTGAAACATTTCTAATGCCCTGGACAGTCTTAGGTTCTCTTTCAGCTTCGTTTTCACGGTATTCAATACATGATGACACTAATTTTAATTCACTAAACATTGAATAATCAGTCAATAATCTTTACTGAGGACATATAATGTACGAGGTATCATTAAAGCACTTATACAACTTAAATAATCACAAAATAAATTATTTTGCAATTTAAAGTACTCCTATTTTATAGGACTAATATTCCTATGTATAATGAGGAAAGTGAAGTACGCAGTGATTAAATATCTCACCTAAGCAGTGACGAAGTCAAGATTTGAAATCTGTAGACTGTGCTCATGAATATTTGCACTCTCCAGCCTTCACTAGAACAATCACATTCTTATATGGTAACCATTCCTTGGCATATACACATTTCCTGTCATTGCCTTTATTATCTTTGTTTTCTCAGGAACTACACAAGTCCAGGCACACAGGGCTTGATGCATGTTTGGTAAAGGAGTGCATGAATGAATAAGTGACTGACTGAATGAATGAATAAGTGGATAAGTGTCCACAATACCTCTTTTTAGGGCACTTCTAATTAGTGCCTCCCAAGTCTCTGATCTGTTCTTTCTTCAGCAAAAACTGACAATACGTTCAGTGCAAACAGCCTTTAATGAATAGCAAGAGGCAAAAATCATTAATCAAGCACTACCTGCACAAGAATCAGCTGTGGAGAGTTCTGCTGAAATATGTCACAGCGACTGCAGCTCAAGTGTACAGAAGAGAGACGACACAGACCACAGGCAGCAGCAGACCCACCTTCCAGGGACAAGAATGGACTCAGCTGAAAGACTCACAGCCTGGGTATTTGGCCTGGGGTTTTGTTGCTTTCTCCTTTGCATGTTGTTGTTGCTGTTGTTTACCCTAGAGAAGAATGGAGAAAAGAGGACATCCAGGCAAGAGTTTATTTGTACAGTTCTCAGCTTTGCTGGTTCTACTTCAAGTTCTTTTATAGGAGCTTCATACCCTGTTTCCCTATCTGCTTCATTCTTGCCCTGCAGAAAACCCTAGAGCACACTAGAAATGAGGTCACTGGGGCTTGATCCTTTCTCCTCTCTACAGGGCCTTCAAGCTGACTACAGTCTTAAAAGTTGTCCAAGCATGTGAAAGCATATGACTAAATGGTTACATACCTAGACTCCAGAGCCCAGCTATGACTATCAGTGCCACTGCTTTCTAATTCTATGTGCAAGCTTTTTAGAGTCCTGATGTCCCTGTTCCTAAATATGTAAAATAGAGACAGTCATAGTACACGTTTCATAGGTTGGTTGAGGGATTAGAACAATATGATAAATATAAAATGCTTAGATAATTGCTTGACACATAATAAATGCTCAACAAATTTCATTTTTATAATTATCATTAATAATAAGTACTGAGTCCCTAGGGAGTCGTGTATCCAGTGTTGCGGGGAGATACAAAAAAAAAAAAAAAAGAAGAGCCCACAGGAGTTCATTTTTGTCCCCACAAGAGGGGGAACGAGAACAAGAGTTCATGAACAAAAAAGAAGACAAAACATAAAAGCAAGAAGTTTCCCAATGCTATAGAAGCAAATGACATTTCTGCCATTTCAGTAGCTTAGCACATGCTTAGAATACAACTCTCTTCAAGGGAACTCAGAAAACTTGGGAGACATTTCTCACTCAACTTTGGCAAAGTTATTTTTGGGTCTACTGAAGTTTCTCAAGTTTGGCACTGTTGACATTTTTGGCAAGATAGTTCTTTGTTGTGGGGGCTGTTCTGTGTATTGCAGAATGTTTACAGGTATCCCTGACTCCTATCCATCAGATGCTAACAGCACTTCACCCTGCAGTGTGACAATTATCAATATCTCTGAGTAATTGCAAATGACACCAGGTGACATTGTAACTGGGGTTCTCACCCCAGTTGAGAATGACTGAATATTAGGATTTTAGGAACAACACCCAGTAGGAGTTTGCTATGACAATAAGGTCCCATTTCACTACCTTTGACAGGAGACATTGATCTTACCATTTCATCTCACCCAGGCTACCTTTCTTTCTTGATAGAATCAAGGTATTGTGGACAGCTTCTCAGGGTTGGGAAGGGATAGGGATTAACCAGATTCTGTTTGTGAGGCCACTTTAACTATAAACCATCATTCTCATGCAAAAAAATAACATTTTAAACACCTAGAGGACTATTGCTCCATTGTGATTGTGCCTCTATGTGGGCAAGTAAATTCATATCAAAACATTGTCACATTACAGTCTAAGATCTCAAACACAGATTATTCTAAAGTTTATTTACAGTCACCTAGGACCTCCACAATGTAGGCACCAAGCTTTGCCTTCTAAAGAACTATTAATGGATATAGGGCAGCCTTTCCCTCAAGGTGCTTTGATTGGCAAGTATGTTCTCTGTTCTATCATCACCCGTGCCCAGGACTGGACAAATCAGCTGTTCATGTTCACAACACCAAAAAAAGATAAAAATTGAGTTGCAAGGTCCTATCTAGTTATACTCCCCTGTGTAGTTATCTGGCATTGGAATTTCATGGGGACTCTAACGTAGACCTTAAAAATCTCTCAGAGGACAGGAAATAAATATTTATTGAGTCTGTACATGTGCCAGATTCTTCTCAGGTCCATTCAGGACTGTGAGGAAAGTATTATTGCCCTGTTTTTTACTGATGAGGACATTGTACATCATAAAGAAGAAAGTCATTTTCCCAGTGTCACAGGATAAGTGGTAAAACTGTAACTTGAACCAACCACATTGGTCTTAATTCGAAGCTTTTGTTACCACACCATGCGAATTGAGGTATATTTGGAAATGACTAACTATAGATAGTGGACAAGGTGCATACATTTCTCAGACCATCTAATCCTAGGGATGTGGATGTCAGAGGAAGACATTCTGCTCTTCAGTGTACATTCCTCATTTGGAAAATGCTAGTTAAATGGCTTTCACAGTGACCTGCAATTCCTCTGTTGAAGAAATATCTTCTAGGCTGAGCCAGTAGATTCTGGATACAGAGTATAAAGGAGGGGTTTCCTAACCAAAAGAGGTAGTAACAATGGATGTCCCAGTCAGTGGCTTCTTAGAGCCCAGCTCAGCTGTCTGCACACGAGCATGAGGAATACAGCAGCTCTCCAGGAATCAATCAGGTGAGAACAAACCAGTAGAGCCAATGCAGAAGCATGGAGTGGAAGACATGTTGCCCACAAGGCCAGATCCATGGGAATCATGCTCATGTCACCCTTGACAAGTAACAACAGTGTTATGATTGTGCAACACTGTAATTTCCATTATAGTACATGAATATGCTTGGCGACCAAAGAAAGACAGATTGGTAACTTCATTTAGAGCAAAGAAACTGGATTCCACTGACAGATTCATGAATCATCCAGGAGATAAAGAAGGGATATCAAGGAACACTGAGTCTTCCTTCCTAGTGATTTTTAAAAGCCTCATCAATATCTGTCCAAAAAACACTTCCCTTTGGGTTATTAATTAATATAAAAGTTCTAGAATTCATGAAGTTAAATCTTATCTAAAATTCTGACACCTTGGCCAGCAAAACGTTGCCATCACACCTTCGATTTAATTGACGTCAGTAAAGGAAAACTATGACTATACAAATGTGGGCTCATTACCCATGACACTTAGAAAAAAAGCCATAAAGGCAGACACTCTCAGTGTCCATAAAACCAGTGTTCTAGAAAGACCAAGACTTAAGTGGTCTAGATACCCTTATCATTTTGAGAAGCCTTATATCATTATACACTTATGCAAACATTTCTTGTTCTTATCCCATGTGGATTGCCTGAGTTGGAACTGGCTGAGTTAGGTTATGCCACCACCTCCGATATATCCATGTGTATTCCATGATTTACATAAAGGGTGAAAAGTTGCTGTGGTGAAGTCTCAAATTCCTTCCTCTCTATATTCTGCTGCCACAACACTAAAGTTAGCAGTTAGTGAGTTTCTGGTGCCTACACAAGTGGATGCCTGGAAACAATGGTCTTTCTCTGCTGCTTGCCACTTCTTTGCCATTTGGTGGCGAGCAGGGAACTAGTAAAATCTAGCTTAAGGGAGGCAATAATGGGAGTGTTGAGAGCAAACTCACCATAACTGAGGGAGAATTGTACACTGATGAGCTAAACTCAATGCTGGGGCCTGATGTCAGAAGGGGTTAGTGGTTCTTGGTGATGTACAACTACCATGAGAAGATGTTCTGAATCACATGCCTACCTTGTGAGAAAGAGGATGTAAAAGCAAACCTACTCTGAAGAATCTGCATAACTAAGAAAAAATATTTCTTCAGAGAAAGGGTAAAAGATCCTTGTCCCTGAGTCCTGTAGAACTATTGGAGTTTGAATGTATAATATTTAAGTTCGTCTAGTTCTGATAGCTATTAATAAATGGGACTCACATGTATACAAATGTAAGAAGCACTTCTGGGTTTCTAAACCTATTTGGGGAAAATAAATTTGGAAAATATTGAGATTCTAGCAGCAAGTAGAGGGACTCAGAGCCATGAAGATTTGGATCTTATTGTGACTACATCTGTATTCTCAAGCTGACAAAGCCAGAGATACCTGGGATATACATGCTTACCACTCTTGCCCACCACAAATATTTTCTATCTGTAAGATATTGATTTCTCATGTCTTTGTTGGTTTCTTTTTCCTATCTAAAGCCAATCCTTCTACATGTGACTACTAGTGACTAGATCCCAAACTCTTCATTTACCCAAAGATTTTGCTATAGCAATTCTCTTCCTTCTCTTAATAATCAGTTTTTCTTATCCCACTGGATCAACACCATGGGCATACAAGCATGCTATTATTTCTCTTAAAACAAACAAACAAACAAAAAAACATTCTTTTAATCCTACTTTCCCCCACTAGCTCTGGCCCCATTTCATTGCTCTCCTTTACATCAAATTCCTCAAAAGTGTATGTATACTAGTCAAGCACTTTCCTCCAATTCTCTCTTGAATAATCAGGTTCTTGCTCTTCAAATTTCTCTTATTAAGGTTACTGGTTACCTACACATTCCTAAGTCTAATGACCTTTTGTTCTTATCTAACTTATCTACCAGCAGCATTTGGCATGACTTGTTAAGCCTTCCTTCTGAACTCACTGTTGACTGGCTTTCTGGAAAAAAAACCCTCTTTCTTACTTCTCCTGACTCAGTGGCTCCACTTATAACTTTCTTTGCTCTTCTTTCTTTTCTCCCAACCTCTTAATGTTGGTGTCAGTCTTTTCTCTATGACACTCATTCCCTCGATGATCTGATCCAATCATTGTTTTAGATCCCAAGTTTATGTCTTCATCACAGACCTTTCTTCTTTAGGCTAGGCTCATATATCCAACTGCCCCCTAGAAATCTCTATATTTCCATTTGACATACCAAAAGCCTAACCCCTGATCTGTACCCCCAACCCGTTTCATGTGCATCCTTTTCTATCTCAGTTGATGGCAACTCTATTTTTTCAGTTACCCAACCCAAAAACTTTGAGTTCATTATTGACTTCCGTGTTTTCCTCATACTCTTCATGTAAAATATGTCTGAAATTCCTATATTTCAACATATACCTAGAATTTGACAACTCCTTACTACTTCCTTTTCTACCACACTGGTCTGGACCACCATTCTCTCTCTTCTGGATGGCCATAACAATCCCTTAACAGCTCTCCCTGTTTCTATCTGTGGCCTCTCCCAGTCTATTTTCAACCTCATAGAATAATCCTTTTTAAAACTGAGAAAATTGCTTAATATTGGAAAATCTATCAATATAATTTAACAGTTTAACAGAATGAGAAAAACCACAGAATCATTTCAATAGATGCCAGAAAAAAGCATTGATAAAATTCAAAACCAGTTCTTAATTT